ACTGCAGGAGGGGGCCTAAGTAGGCCAACACTTTAACCCAGTTACGTGAGGGAAGCTGTAATCCAGGCTGATCATGTCTTGCTAAGCTCTCTAGGTGGAAAATGTCCAAAAGCTGCTTCTTGTGTGCAAGTGTTCCTGGATCACACTGCAGACACTCCTTTTCCCTTCTGGAAGAGTGTGGCTTAAAGGTTACAAGGGCCAAGCTCCATTTGAGTGTCTGCCAGAGCTAAGTGGGGCTGGTGGCAGTTTCCAACCACAGTTTAATACTCATGGCTCAGGCCACCCTGGGCAAAAGTACTGTATTTTCTTGAAAGATCCACCAACCCTCCTCCACTGCGTTGAAGGAGGAGAGGAAATCATTGTCTTCCTCTGTGTGGGCCAGAGAGAAACTCACATCAAACCAGCAGTCTTTAGATAGGGCTGGGCTCTGCTTCCCCTGTCCCCAGAACCACAGAAGCTCACCTCACTTCTGGCAATGACTAACCCTAAAAGTTCCAAGGGAAGCAGACCAAGCTGTCTGGCCAGCCCGTGGTAGGGAAAGAAAGAAATCAGAGCTGCTGGCACTGATCTGGCCTGGCTTTTGTGGCTCCCTCCCTGTCATCTGGCACAGTGGGCCTTCTTATGCACATGCACTCTGTTCCCTCCCTCTGCTGCCCCACAAAGCAGCTGATCTACGAGATAACTCCACAAGTCTATTATTTTATACACTGGAAAGAAAAAACAGTTGCTGGTTATGTGTTAGAGATGTTAAAATACAAAAAAAAAATAGTGTCTTAGAGCCAATGAAATAGAAAAAGTCTTTAAAAATGGAGAGATAATCTCACCTACGTGCGCACGCACACATGCACACACACACACACACACACACACACACACACACACACTCTGCAGACCACAATGACACAGGGCACATGGTGGCACAGTGGGTGCATGCACTCAAAACTCCAGCTAATTTCTGTGCTCTGAGAACCAGATTGGTGAGCACATGGCCTGCAAACAGGGCCTCTTCACAAAACACAGACGTTATGGTTTATCAAGTTCTCTCACCACACACAGTTACTTCACTGGGTTCCTCTCAGCTGCCCTGAAGCACAGGCAGGACAGTGGCACATATTACCTACTTTACACATAGAGTTTAGACAGGTGTGACTTTGCCAGGGTCACTGGGACTGAGGCCAAGAAAAGTGGGACAGTGGGTCCTATTTGTAGAATTTCTAAAGTGCTCATCCGACTTCCACAGGATGGCCACTAAGAGAAGGGTGCAGATACTACTAGTGTGGGTGTGAATAAGTGGCTTTTAAACCCCTTTCCTGATGAGATTACTCACAAAACTTCCATAAACAAAAAGAGTAGGACTGGAGTTGTTCTATGAGGGGCAGAGGGACTCAGTCTCCACCCAGCTTTCATCCCTACCAGGGACGTCTGAGACACCTGGCAGAATCACTGAGGTGCTGAGGAATAATTTTTTTTTTTATTTGCAGAACCAGGGATTGAATTCAGACACTTGCGCTTGCCAGGGAAGCGCTTACTCTACTGAGCCATCTCCTTGGCGCCCTGAGGAACAATTAATAGAGCAAGGGGCTTCAATTGTATTGGTCATGTCCATTTTCTTAAGGTACATTTAGATATTATTCTTAATACTTTCTGATGAGTCTTCAGGGCTTCATTTTAGAAAAAGGCACTGGTATGGATGGCCTAGCTAAAGAGGTGACTCAGAACTTGGATGTTTAAAAAGCAAAATAAAAAGGGTTGTGAATTATGAGCTTGGACATTGAGATTTTAAAGCTCCCCAGGTGACTAATATGTAACCAAATTTATGAGCCACTGTACCAGAGGTACCTCGTTCTGTATAATAGTATCTGGCATGCCTCAAGTACAAGAGCACAGCTTGGAGTATGTGGGGAGGCCTCTCTCTTCCCAAAATGTTAGGGAGCCTGGAATCTTTATAAATGTGTGATAGCAACAAGTATGGTGCTCGGGTAGGAGGGAAGGCAGGGCTGAAGTCAGAGCAGAAGCAGACTGGTGCCATGTCTCCAAGCCCCTACCACGGAGAAGGGAGGGCAGGAGCCAGCAGTGAAACTTGTTGGAGGCTGGGATTGTGCTTTCCAACAGCAGCTCATTAACTCATGTCACCCACGTAAGGTATGTGAAGGAAATGACTTCTCTCATCACTGAGAATGCCATCCGAGATGCCAAGGGTACTGGCGTACTGTGTGGATGGCACGCAGGAGTCACAGAAGTGAAGGCAGGAAGTCAGCTGTAGAGGGTACGCGATGGCAACAGGAGTGTCTCTTGGGAGGCCTGCAAACCTGTGCCCAGCAGCTCAGACATCTGAGGTGTACGATCTCACTGCTGGGCAGAATGCTGACTATGGGATGGGCAGCACAGGTAGTGACACAGACCTTGACTTGAGATGGGGCCAGCCTTGCCTGTTGCCAAGGTTCCCAAACCACATATTCTTTGGCTAAACCAGTGAACGTGCCAGGCTGACCTCCGTATACCACTGTTGTTTCACTGGCCTTGGCAAAACATGAAAAGGCAAAACTCCCTGGAGCATCAGGGTGTAACCATCTCACACTGCTCCCTACCCCCAGAGGGGTAGGGGATATAATCCAAGGACTGGCTTCTGGGGCTTTTGCCATAGAAATGCCAACTTTGTATGCTAGGAAAGGAAAGGGATGACCCAGGTAGCAATAAACAGGTTATGGAAAAGCAGCGGGCCAAGCTGCTCACTTACACTGGCCAAAGATCTGGGGACAGATCAAGTGGAATGTGTTCTCATTGTTCTTCCCTTGCACCATCACCTCCTCATTCAGGATCACATTTACACAGAGCCCTACAGGGAAGCAGGATGGGGCTAGAGGTGCCCAGGCGAATAACAGCATCCTGGATGTGTACAAAAGAACTCATGGGCAGGGCCATAGTTTATGTCACTAAGGGTTCTCTTTCAGGTAGCAATGGTATCTCCTACCATTTTTCAGCAATTAGGGATGAGATCTGTGTTCATGGAGTACCTCTGCGGGGAGGGGTGCTGTGGATTGAATGCAGGACTCCATACATGGTAAACATGCTAAGCTACATCCTCAGCCCCTCACCTGAGTACCTTCTATGGAATGAGTCCTGTGGTGAGGCTAGGGGAAGAGTCAGATCCCACACTTCCCTCAAGGAGGTAAAAGTCTAAGAGGGAGAGACCCAAGTGATGAACCTAAGAGGAAAACAGATGGTGCCTTGTATGAGCACCAGATACTGCAGGAGCAGAGCGGAGAGGTGCCCAGTGCATTCCTGGGAGGCAAGAATGAAAGTAGAGAGGGATTCACTCTGAAAGTGAGGCCGTAGCATAAGGGGGGGCAGAGTAAGGAGCAGAGCAGAGGCAAGGAAGCAGGAAATGGCATGGCATGACAAAGTGCAGTGCAACATGGCTGGAGCAGCAGAGCATTCCTCTGAGAGTGAGCATGAGGTGATGGAGCTGAAGATGTATGCAGGGGCCAGGACGTGCAAATCACACTCAGGAGCCCCTAGGCTCGAAGACCCACGGCAGTGATGCAGTCAGACTGTATTTGAAGACTATTGCCTGCTCAATGGAAAAGAGGCAAGTGGAGAAGGGTTGCAGGGACAGATGCACTAGTCCATGGGGTGGTGATGGCTCTGGTGGCTGGGCCTTTGGTTTCTTCCTCAAAAGGAAGCCATGGAAGGCCATGAGAACACTTTCCTCGCTTGCTCTCCACTACCCTCTTTCTGCCCTGTACTGCTAGTGCTTGGCTAGCCCGTGTCCAGCCACTTTAGCCCTACACCTTTCAGCGCTGCTCTGATGCTGGCTGAACAGCAGAAGGAAAGACCAGCTTGACTTCTCAATCCCAAAGTCATGAGGCTCTCCCTCCTGCCTCCTGGTCTGCTTCTCAGAGCTGGGGCTCTAGGGCAATGATCTCCCCAGACATCCAGGCACAGCAGTATCTGTGGAGCCTGGAGGAGAAATGAGAGCATATAGGCCTTGGAGGCTAACAACACTGGTGCAGAATTCCAGCTTGTCCCTTTATTAGCAAGCCTCACAGTACTGGGTTTCTTGCTGTCAAACAGGGACTGCATTGCTAGTCAGCTCACAGAGCCATCTGTGGGGACTCTCAGAGGTAACCCGTGGAGAGGGACTTAGTGCTGTGCCTGGCACACAGTTGCTGCTATCGCACTGCAGATGGAGAACCTGAGGCAGCAAGAAAAGAAAGGACTTTCCCAAGCTGGTCGTTTTCCAGTCCAGGACCGCAGTGGCCTGCCTCACTTGAGGCTTGGGTGCCCAAGTACTGGCAAATGTGGAGATCTTCCTGTACCGCCTGCAGCTCTGGCTGTGTCCCTTCCAGAAGCAGCAGCCCTGGCAAAGATGGAGCAGGCCATCTGTGTGGCATAAGGGCAGCAGTACTCCTAGCACACCTTGGTGAGGCAGGGCCTGACCGTTCTCGACGGGCAGGTTTATCTTGCTTGCTCCTCCCCTCAAGACAATCTGGCCATTGCTGGGCAGAGAAGACTTGGCCAGAGCAGGACTGAATGTGAAGTGTTTCTTCACAAAGCTCCCTTCCAAAGTTCAGTCATCAGCCTGGCCCCATACACAGCAGGACCTACAGAGCCCAGAAAATGTCCCTAGTTAGACAAGCCCTGAAAAGAAGAAACAGCCTGCTGGGCCACTGGCAGGCATGGCAGAAGTAGGCAGTGTGTGCAAACTCCAGGCTGTGCAGCTACACTGCTCCCAGGGCAAAGCTATACTGCGAGCCTGGCACCCATTGGGGGTCCTCCATTGCTTGCACGGCTTGAAAAATAACAACCGCCTTTGTTGATTTCCAAAGCATAGCCTTCTGACAGGGTTCTGGGAAGCAAGGCCGGGACTCCTGAGTTCTCATAAATCTTTTAATAACAGTAAACGAGGAAAACATTGCAACAATAAATCCCATGGTGAGGTTTCCTATTCATTCGGGGATCTTCAACAACAGAAACACCTGAGACTAAGACTCAGAATGCTGAGTACACAAATTAAGGGCCATTTATTTCCAAAGGTGACTGCAGAAATCATTTCAGTACAATCAAAAGGTTTTACAAAACAGAGAAAACAGATTACAAAACACCCCAAGAGGTGAGAAAACCTGTGGGAGGGGGGCACAGAGCACCCCAGAACCAGCCTGACAAAGAGGTTCACCCTGCTGCTGATTAGAGGCATTAGAAAAACTGGTTCGTAAGGGGGCTGCTGCGTGGTCGGAGTGGTTGGTGGGGGGAGTCAGGGCTCAGCCCAGCGCATAGCAATCATAGCTTGGAATAAGGAAGGATGGGGCAGATAAGCGGGGCAGAGGCCTTTGCCAATGTCTGGGCAGAAATAATTACACACCAGCCCATCCTCTTCTCTTCACTACAGCAACACCAACAGAAATGAAAAAGGATTTGAAATATAACACAATACTGACATCAAAAAAGCAAGAATTCCCAAAACACCCTGGTGTGAAATGAATTTGGTTTTGTTTTTCATGGGGCTTTTGTCTGCTTAGTGCTACGAGTAGCAAACCAGTATGCAAAAATGCCCCAGCTAAGGGCAACAGCAAGCAGCTGGGTTTTCCTGAGCACATAGGGGCTCATTCTATTTACACAGGAGAAGGATTGCCCCCTCTTGCTGACAGCCCACCTTGGCAACTCAAGGCTGTACGGCCACACTGCTCCCAGGGCAAAAGTGCACTGAGCGTCCAGTGGCCCTTTGGGGGTCCTCAAGGGCATGCAGGGCAGGAGCAGCCCAGAGGGCCCCTGCATGGCCTGGGCCTTGCCAAGGACTCTGAAGGGCCTGCAGAAATCCCTCACACATGCCTGTTTCTGACAAACCACAACCAGCACCACTGTCTTGTCCTACCGTGTCACACATGGCCCTTGGTTCTCCACCACCATCTCTCCTTTACTAGAAACCATTAGGAAACTCCTCTTCTGAAAAGAATAAGTGATGGTAAATCAATGTCCCCAAATCGAGGAAATATTTGTGGTAGACGGAGGGAGATAGGGCCCCTTGGCTGCCCCCTGAGTACTAGCGCATTGCCTGCCGTGGTGGAGATCGTGGGGACCTGTTGACACTGGATTATTTGTGGGATGTGGTGGTCACATATATCAAAACCCTGACAGAGCCTATAGCAAAACAGATGATCTGACAGCTAGGCTGAGGTTCTGTACAGTAGTGTGTGCTAACTGCCTGCTGAGCCCAATGGCCCTGCAAACAGCTTTTCTGATTACCAGGAGGTCCAAGAAGAAAGAGCATGCTGACTTAGGGAGATGGAGTTCGAGGCTTTGGAACCCCCTGTGGTGCCCTCAGGCTGTCAGAGGAGCATGTCACTGTGCCTCTGAGAGGAAGCTGGGCCTGATCTTTGGTGTCCAAAATCAAATACTGAGAGTGAGGGAGAACTTAAACTATTTAGAGTACCCTCTGGTACTCCGCTTTTCACAGTGGATGCTGCAAGTTTGCCAGCTCAACAGACTGTTCTCATTGACTTAGACCCTTCATCATAGCTGCCTGTGGCCTGAGGAACTGCTCCTTTCCCTTCCTGGGGCTTTCTGAAAGGGAACTGGCCACTCTTGAGATGCACTCTCACACATACATAGAGCTTCCATACACTGGCAGATGGCAGGCAGCAATTGGCCAGAGCGGCTGGGGAGTCCTCTCAGCACTAACAGGAAAGCCCTCAGGAGAAACTGGAAAGCCAGGGTCCACTGGTCCCTGGATGTGCAAACTTCAGCTTCTTCCTTGGTACTGTACCAGGGCCAGTGGCAGGCTGGAGGCTAGACAGCTATGAGGGCCACTCTCAAGGCAGGCTGCTATGAGTCTGGCCAGATTGCCTGTCACTATGTGGGCTTGGATAAGGCAAGAAAGAGAGACAGAGAAACTCACATGCTTGCTTTTCCCTAAATCTACACCAGAATTTTTTTGTGGAGCCTGTGAAAGGGCCTTGGCATCTGTTCATTCAACCCCCAGGTTTGTGAGTTAGCCTGGGCCCCTGCACCTGCCCTCCAGTTCGCTCTTTCCCTCACAGGTACATCTGTCTCTGGCCTGGCCATACCAGGTTCATTCATGGCTTTCACTTTCATCTCTCTTGCCAAAACAGAGTATTGAGTGGCATGCAGGGCAGAGGCAAGCTTCTGGAAACATGCCAATGCAGGGAAACCCCAAAATGACTGCAATCTGTGCCGTGTCAGGGACAGAAAGGAAGAAGGTACCTACAGTCACACCACTGTGGTATCCACAGCTGGTCCCTGGCTGAGGCACAGATCTGCCTGCAGCAGCTCCATTTTCTCGTAGTGGCCAGGTCAGGTCCCTAGGAGCTCTTCCCATGCCTTCTTTCCACACTTTACTTTTGTAGAGAGGCAAAGGGGTATGGAGGCCTTGTATATTTCCTCACCAGCCACTCCTACAGGAAGCAGCCTAACACACAGCAAGGTGAATCCAACTGCTCAGGTGCTTGTGCTGGAGGGCAACCCTAGCATGAGAGGCCTAAGAAGCTTGGGCCAGCAACCAAGGAGTTCAGAAAACAAAGGTTACATGTTATAAAGACCTAAGAGGAGCAAGGGCACTGAATGTTCTCCCTGCTGGTTCCCTGTGCCCTCCTCCACTTGACTACCTCAATCCCAGCAGGCCCTGCCAAAAGGCAGTGCCTCCCAGGGCTGCTTCTTCAGGTGCTTGTATACTTAAGAGAAACTTTCTCACGTACTCCCGCCTCCAAGTTTTACCTTTGCTAAAATCATGACTGCTAAGCCACTGGAGCTCAGTCTGTGTCTAATATGACTAAACCTGCAATACTGGTATTGGTTCAGGGCAAAAGAGTTGTCCAGAGCGGTGGAGGGCAGAGGACGCTCACTGAAGGAAGTCACTGGATGAGCATTTCTGGTTCGAAGCAAATCTGCTCCTAGTAGCAAGCAGCAGAGAATCAACAAACCTCCAGCTACTGCTTCCTTCTTGAGGTTACACATGATGTGACATGGGACTTCGCTTAAAAGCTCATCCTTCTGCAGCACTTTACCCTCCACCTTTGGGAACCTGATCCCTTGGATTCTCCCTCTCAAGCTAGGCATGGGCTCTGAGGATGGGCAGGGTGGGAAGCATGCAATGTCCCCCACCATGTGACACAATTCAGCATGGAATCTGGCTGCACTGAAGAAACCTGGCCCGAGGGAAACAATGTTTGGCAAGAGCTGCAGCTTCCCAGACCAGGATGTGGCTGTATACTGTAAACTCCAGAAATGGATCTCAGGGGACTTGTAGAAATGGGCCCTGTTGCAAGGGCTTTCCTAATTCAAACATCCAAAACCAAACAAAATGTAAAGCAAAACAATTGCAAACTGCTGGAAGCTCATTCTTCCTGAAGCTGCTTTAGAGAGAGGCAGAGACAGAGAGACAAAGGAGAACATGCTGAAGGAGCACTGCAGATTAGAATGGGATCTATTATCACTGTGAACATGGAACATGGTTCCAATCACAGATTCCTCAAGTTACCCTTTCACTGATTATTTCCTTAATCGGGTCGTGGATACATTCTCAGCTCTCCTTGGCAGTCTGCACAGGGTCCTGCTTGATACTTTATAGACTTTCACCCTCCTCCCTCTGGATTCACCACTGCAACAGTTTTCCAACCAGCTCAGTGGATCTCACCCTTAGGCTGGGGCTGCGCTTTCACCTCCTGCCCAGGCAGCATCCTGGAGGGAGTGGTTGGGTGGCTCCCTGTTTTGAGTCATGACACTAGTTGGAAGAATGTGGCTGCTTCTATTTTGGCCTTGAGCAGGGAAATCCCTTGACTCTGGTCTTGCTGCTGGTAGAGAACAAGGCCTCAAGTCCCCTTACAGTGGGAGTTGTGCTGGAGACAAAAGGGGATTTGCACATGAGCATGAAGGTCCCTGGCAGTACAGAAATGTAACACAACCCAGTTTCTTTGCTATGACACTGGCAAAACTACTGTTTGTTGTTCCCTGTCTCCTCAACCAGCTGTTGTTAAAAGCACCGACAAGCAGAGCAAGAGGGCTGCTGACTACCATCTCCCTAGATAAGGCCACTAGGAGTGGGGGAGAAAGAGCCAGGGGAGGGAAGGAGGAAAGATCCTGCCTCAGCACCACACCCCGGGCACAAGGAGACATCCTGGGGGGAGGAGCTGAGGAAGAGTGGTGGAAAAAAGGGACAGCGAGGAGGAAAAAAGAAATACACCAAACATCTAGTGTCCTCTCCCATGATTTCATCAAGAACTGGGTGTTCTCCAAGTCAAGTCAGGGCTTGCTTCCTCAGGGAGAGAGAGAAAAAACCCAAGCACCTTCAGTCTATTTTCTTTGCTGGAAGCCGGAGCAAATCCAGCAGATATTTACACAAGGGCCCAGCCATGTATGAGAACAGGATGACCAGCTTCCCGTGGGTCATGGTCATGAGAGTCTGGTGTCCCGAGGCCCAGATGCGATACCAGGGGCCGTAGAATGGGTCTGAGATGGCCGGACACAGCATGTTGTTCAAATTCACTTCGGTGACCTGCAGGGACAAGGGAGGCAGAGTGAGCGTTCGCCATCCTTAGGCTTTCTCTGGCTGTTGCCAGTTCAGCCATCTCTACCTAATGGGAAACTAGACAAGGAGGGATTGGCCAATCCCCGCCTGTTTATAGAGAGACTCTGCCCTGGGTTTTTGGAGTGGATTGAGGCTACAGCTCTCTGGAAGTACTGGTGTAGGCTATACAGTGGAAAAATGGTCCAGTTTTGCTTAGGGTCCAGGAACTACTGCTATTTCCTAAGTAGCTACTTAATGCCTAATCCCTGGAGAGACATTACAGGATAAAAGAACAGTTAACACAACAACATTGTCCCTTAGCTGATGATCAATCAGGTGGCCCAATCTACATCTCATCTGAACCAGACAGTGCCCACCAAGCTTAACATGCCATGAGGAGGTCTGAGGGGCATACTGCTTCGGGGCTTAGCGCCCAGAGAAGATTTCATGAGGTGCAGGGCATCGCATGGACTTATGAAAGATGGATGGGGAGTTATGTTGAGTGAGTGGAGCCTTCCTTATAGGAGGCACGGCCATGCATGGTATGTATGGTAACATGAGCACACTGAGGCCTCTGGAATCTGGAATGTCATTGAGGACCAGTCAAAGGTAAGGAAGGGTATGTAGGTCATAATACATCCTCCCACAAGCACAGGAAACATTCACACTGTTGCCAGGAACTCAAATACCCCTGACAAACTACAACAGAGGCATTCACCAGGCTGGGGAAGAGAAGGTAATTGTTTCTTCCAGGGTGCTTAACACATCAGTTACATGTCCTCATCACATAAGGTCGCTCAAGGCTCTGCATGGCTAGTGCTCCATTAGTGTTGCCAACAAAACCAGAAACACCACTCCTGCCCAGAGGACAACCACACCTGCCTTCCTGAGCGCTTCAATCCTAGTCACATTAAAGAGACATCCTCGGCAGGCCAAATAGCTCAGCAGATTAAAGCGCTTACTTAGGCAGATGCAGCAGCCAGCAGGGTTCAATCCCAGCATGCCATGCTGGCCCCACCCCTGGGGGCACACTGAGAGGGCGATTGAGACTGCGCGTGGTGGTACACTTCTGTAATCCAAGTTCTTTGGGAGGCTGAACACAGGCGGATCACTACGAGTTAGATCTACATAGTGAGACCCTGTAGATCCTTACTCAAAAAAAAAAAAAAGCAAAAGAGAGAGAGAAAGAGACATCCTCATCACCTCTCAGGGAAGTTGGAGCTCTGAGACCATGTCACAGCGAGGTGGAGAACTCTCTGTCCTCAAGGGTGAGGAGGCTCACTCAGAGCACTCCGTTAGGTGTTGGACTTGGCTTTCCTGACCGCTGTCCTCTTGCACTATCAGCAGTCTTGGGCTCTAAATAACTTGACAATTGGATCCAACCATTTTCCACACCCAGGCAGTTCTAAACGCTGCAGAATGCTGTGGTGGTCCCACCTCCATACTTCTACTGACCACACAACTTAGGGCAGTGACTGAAAATGGTTCACAAGCCACAATGGATCCAAGGTCAGAGATCCCTCCAGGCCCCGGGCCAAATTTAGGGTCCTACCTCTCTATGTGGTCTAGAGCAAACCACTTCCCCACTGCAGCTCAAGTGGCCAGCAGTGAAAGGGTGAAGAAAACAACAATAACTAAAGGATTCAGAAAACTCTGGAGAGGCCAAGGCTATTGCAGATCAGAAATCAGTAACCCAAACACAACAATTTGATATCCCAGCCTTTAACATCTTATATTTTCAAAACAAAATGATACGCCAGCACCAACTGAGATTGTCAAGATTTATAGAGAACTCCAAACAGAGGGGATAGAAGGGGAGATCAACAACTCACCAGGCCGAGAATCTGCAGGATGCTGAAGTGATAGAAGAACATGAGGCCAGTTGAGAGAAGAGCCCACCGGAAATTGCTGAGGGGCTCTGGAGTATAAGCACCTGAAGGAGGAGAGAACATGGTGAGAGGAGAACCAGCGCCCCACGTCTTTGCACATGCAGCACCTCTGCTGTAGTCTCCTCACTGCTACTGTGTGGCACCATCTCAATGATTCACTGGGCACTCCCACCAGCTCCGTTTTCAGTGCACTCTCATATGCTGGCGCCATCGCAGTGAGACAAATGTCAGTATTATAAAATTCCTACATTCCCCGCACTGTGGGATGCTGAGGCAAGAGGATCGCAAGCTTGAGCCCAGCCTGGGTCACTTAGTGACTTAGGGAGATCCTGTCTCAAAACAAAAAAAGGGTTAGGACATAAGTCAGTGCAGCAGTCCTGGTCTCAATCCAAAGTACTACAAAAAGAAGAAAAGGAATACATTCTCATTAAAGGTTATTTAGAATATGAAAAAGGAAGAAAAAAGTAGAAGAGAAAAAGAAAAACATCTCCGGTAACCTGCTCCACGAATACAACCACTGCTTACACATGGGCATGTGTGTCATGGGTCATTTTCTCTATGCCTCTAGATTTTCTTCCTTTTCCAAATTAATACTTGGAATCTCACTACATATATAATTGTACAGTGCTCATTTATACATTTATTTCCTTACAGTTCTAAAGAAAATCATTGCTGAGGTACAGCATGGTGGTTAGAAATATTAACTTTGAAGCCCAATAGATCTGCATTCAAATTGTGAACCCTCCCTTGACAAAGCCTTTGGATTGTGGGTCTATCTTGGGTCTACTTTCCCAGATCTTTTTGCAAGCTCTACCTGTGTCACAAATCTGGTTCTGACTGGCCATATGGGCCTGAAAAGTTTGATGAAATTTCTAAAATGTCAGTTTACTTGCCTGCAAAATGGGTCAACAGTACCAGCAGGGTCTGGCATAGCACAAGGTCAGTAAGCTTTGGATACTCTCCCCTACTTTTCAGGCAGGTGCTTACACCACTCAGCTATATCCCTGGCCCTCATCATTGTAATTCCAAGAACTGAATAATGTGCAAGTTCAATGGTTGTACCATTTCACAACAACTGAACAACTCCTTTACCAAAGGCCACTGAAAATGAAATATTTTCCCTGCATCATCACCGGTAATTATCTTTAAGAGGCTTGGGTATTTTCCAAACAGGTGTATAGTTTATAGGATACTACAAGTGTCACCATAAAGGCACACTCCAGAGGACAGTGCTTGCGAATGACAGGACCTAGAATGCCCTCTCCCCTCCTCCCAAATCCAGTGGAGGGGTGACATCATACCCTGGAGTACTCCTTTCCCAGATCAGTTTTGCATGGATTCAGCCATTCATTCAACACTTTTTACATACCTAGTATGCTCTAAGAACACAAGTTCCCTGCCAACTCAGACTCACAGTCAGCAATTACAACACAAGGAAGCTGGGAGAATGACTGAGGTCTACAGCACCTGTTGGGGCAGGACAAAACTTGGCCTTGACAGGAGAGGTGGGGCAAGAAATGCTTCTTAGAGGGAGAATTGGAGCGGAGTCCTGAAGAATAGAGAGGACTTCACAAGGGGCCTAGACCTGTCAAAGCAGGAGCCCATACAGAGACAGACACAAGCTAGCTATGTCACTGGAGAACTCCAGGCTCAGTGAGGCCATAGGGGAGAGTGTAGTGGAGGCAGTGAGCATGGGTAAGACTCAGAGGTATTCCCTAGGCTGAGTCACAGAGGACTGGCAGAGCCATGTGAGGGCTTTGGGTTTCAGCCTCAACAGCAAGGTCATGACCTCAAATGCCCCAGATCTTGGGCAAGAAATGAGAAGCAGCGTTGTGACCAGGGCCTAAAAGACACTTCAACATGCTAGCCACTGACAAACCAGAAAATCTGTACCCTTTCTAAAGAGCAAAACTATCACTTAACTGTACCAGACACTGTCCATCAGGGATGAAGGACAAGAGGTGCTAGTGAGAAAAACTACAAAAATGAACCTTTATGTGGAATTTCCTGATTTTAAATTTGGTGACTAATTTAACATGTTTTAAGAATACTCAGTATGGTGTGTCTTCCAGCCCTGCTCGCGAGGCATGTTGAGAAGGCAATTGAGTCCAGATGTGGTGGCACACGCCTGTAATCCCAGCACTTGGGAGGCTAAAAACAGGGGGATCACTATGAGTCCGATCTATGTACTGAGATCCTGCAGACCCTGTACTAAACACATTAAAAAAAATGCTCAATAGGGACCAGCAAGATAACTCAACTGACTAAAGCACCTTCTTAGGCAAGCTTAGGGAAGTGCAGGGATGGCATTCAAGCAACTGCACCACATGCCCCACCAGCCCCACTCCCAGGTTGCGCTGAGAAGGCCAGAGTCCGGCATAGTGGCACATCTCTGTAATCTCAGCACTGGGGAGGCTGAAAGCAGGAGTATCACCATGAGTCCAAGATGTATAGTGAGACCCTGCAACAACCAAATACATTAAAAAGTATGCTCAATAAATTAAAAACAAACACATTTTCTGGATGAATTTCAAGCCATGGGCAGCTAGCTTTGTGTTCTGCTTCACGACTACTAAAGGGCGTGGGGAGCTGGGGGCAAAGTGCTGGGATCTCACATTTGCTGGTGAGAAATCACCCTGATCAGTGGGGGCAGTGGTGCACACCCTGGAGCAAACCAAGTTGAGGCAGCCTAGCAAGAAGACTGCTGTTGGTACTTAAGAGAGAGAAGAGGAACTGGAGAAGGAAGAGTAGAGGAAGAAACCACCAGGACAAAGCAGAAGATTGGCTACCAGGGGCTAAGGAAAAGGAAGGTTTGAAGAACAGTTCCAGGGGCCTGGCCTGGGCATCTCTGAGTTGATAGCATTTATTGTAATGGACAAGGGAAGAAAGGGCAGATGGAAGCAGAGGATAGGGAACTAAAGAGAGCCATTTGAGACACCTGACATCAAGGTGTCTGTGGACATCCATGTGGAATTGTCCCCTTGGGAGCTGAATGTACTGTAGGACACGAAGTGTGATGAATAAGTGTAAAGGTCCCAGAACCCAGCAGGTGGAAGTTTGCAATCCTGGTCCCATCATTACCAATTTCAGGGGCTTGGGCATATGGCAGTAACTCCTGATGTCAGTTTTCTTCATCTGAAAAATTGAACAGCATTGTCTATGCAGAAGTTTGTTGGATGAGGTAAGGTAATGTTATAATTATAGTACCATATCTGTGCTTCACAAGTGCATATTATTATCATTGTTATTGTTAGTCACAACTTTGGTGAGAAGGATGGGCTGGGGTGCCTGATATGGGTGGCATCAGTATACAGAGGCAAATGAAGTGGAAAATGAGGAAGGCCAGAGGCAGAATGCATGTGAGAAGTGGGGATGGGCTCAATAAAGCCAGGGGAGTTTTCTGTAGAAGGTGAGCCTTGCTTTAGGAGCAAGATGCAGGCTCATGACACATCTGAATCAAAAGGTCCTATGAGGACACAGATTTCATCCTTCCGTTTTATGGATGGAAAAACAGATTTGAAGAGGGACTGTGTCTCAGCCGGCGTCATAACAGCATAACCCTGGAGAAACAGATGCTTAAACAGTGCTAAGAAACTCAGTGCTCAGTGCGCCTGTGCCTACTTGTCTAGACTTCCAGCTTATCAAGTTGGTCCTTTCTTTCCTTGTCAGCTTGCCCAGCTCCAGACCAAGGGCTGCACAGCAAAGCCCGGTTTGATTCATGTGTGTTTTCCCAGCGGCTGACACAGAGCCTGGTCTGTGAACACAACCCTGCCTGTCTGCCGACTGTGTGCAAAAGGGCACCGTGTTGTCACCCTGGATGCCGGGGGCACCTGGGGGAAGAGAGGTCTGCAAGGTGATCGGTGCTCACGTTGCCGGCCGCTGGAGCCCTGGGGGTGACCCTTTTCCCTTCTCCCGGCCTCCACTCTGCTTCCCCTACTGGCCGCTGGGCAGCAATGACAGGCCTCCCGTGCCAGGTGGTGGTTGCAGGGTGAGGGGGCCTCGGCCCCAAGTCGGCGGACAGCTGGGTCTGAGGCTTGAGCTCCAGGCCGCCTGCCCTACACCAATGCTTCTCCCCAGCCTCACTGAAGCCTCTGCCCCTGTCTGTGTCACACTGTGGGAAAGGTTTCCTCAGATATTAACAGGGGTACATTTGTGAATGGCTTGCTGCCCTATCTGCAAATGCCCACTTCAGCAGGCACCATTGCTCCTGTGTTACATCATCTTCCCCGCATCAGACTGGGAGTATTCTGAGAGCAGCTGCTTCTGAATCCCTTCTTCAGCTCCAACACCTGGGACACAGTAAGCATTCAAAAAAGAATTACTGTGTGCATAGGGAGAATCATGAAAGTATGCTTTGGCTCCGTACTTCTCTGGGGACCATCATCAATACCTGCAAAACCCAACAAACTGCCCTTATTTGCACAAATCTATTTACTCCTGCACTTCCTATCATATTAAGGAACTGGACACAAATCAAATGGGGCGCAGCGACCAGGACCGGGGTTCGATCCCTGGTGTGCTGGGCTGGCCCCGCCCCTGGGGCGCGCTGACACAGCAAATGAGACTTGGCCTGGTGGCAGCACCTGTATTCCCAGTGCTTGGGAGGCTCAAGACAGGAGGATCACCAGGAGTCCGATCTATATAGTGAGGCCCCGTAGACCCTGTACTACAAATACATTAAAAAAAAAGCACTGCAGAAATGGTAGAAAATGTAACTTAGTAGCTTAATAACAAAGGTCTTGGGGTCACATAGCTTTGGGTTTGGATCTTGGTTCTACCAGTGCCTATAGGAACAATCTTGAGTAAAACATGCTGCATCTTCAAACCGATTTTCCTATAGTGGACTAGAAGTAGCACCAACCTCTCAGGGATAATGATTACATATATGTATATATCAGCTGTCCTGGCATATTTTTTAGCATGTCCAGCCATTAAATAATGGCTAGCCATAATAATGTCCAGCCATTATTTTTAGCATGGTGACTGAAGGCATCCAAAATCTTATAAAAGACAAGAAGAAGATGGGGATCATGTGAAGAAGTTG